AAAAAAAAAAAAAAAAAAAAAAAAAAAAAAAAAAAAATCAGGAAAAAACCCCAAAAAGTGTATAAATAGCTAGGATATAAAGTGAGCTTCAAGAGAGCAAAAGGTCAAAGAAGGAAGAGGTCACCAACTAGAAGTAGGAAAGCGTCCACATAGGAAGTGACACCTGAAATGAGCTTTGAAGAAGAGGAAGACTAACAGGTGGGAAAATCAGAATATCTCTTAGATATCAGATTTAATTTTCATAACCTAGAATCATAAATGAATTCTGTTCAATGAGCAATTAAACACTCTAATAACATTGCGCTACATACCTCCAGTCCACATCTAAGTCTTCACTGACACTGGAGTCATCCTCAAGGTTATTGTTACCATCCAACATGAAAGCTTCTGGCTGTGCAAATTCATTGGCAGGTTCATTTCCCTCATCACTGCTGCTCTCGTTGACTTCATTGTACTGTAACCAAGGTATTTCTCCCTCTTCCAAGGATGTCTGTTCCCTAATATACACAGTTTAAAGGAAGAAAAAACATTATTTTAAAACACATCATAACATTTTTCTTTAAAGAATTCTATTTATTACACGAAGACTCTGTACTCCTTGAGTTCTAAGCTTTTGGTACTTCTATGATTCTAAAAAAACTGCTTTCCTGAACTGAAAAATTATTTAAAAAGGAAGTAAATAGGGAGATATATACATACAAATAGTTCTTAATTACATAGGAACATGTTTTTTTGATTAACAAATTACTTATGCTCCTATTATTTCCTCTTTTTGCAAGAGAAAAATAAGAAAAATCCACCCTAGACAATTTGAATTTTTAAAGACTGCTCTTGAGTAACTTCCCTTCACAGTTAAAATAAAATCCAAATTCCTCCACCTGGCCTACAAATCCCTGTGTATTAACTGCTTTCTCCTCAGCCCACTCCTCCAACATCATCTCTCACCACTCTTACCCTTGTCTACTATGCTCCCACTCTTCTTTCTATTTTTGGAACACATGGAAATCATTTCCACTCTGGGGCCATTTCTTCTATCTAAAATGTTCTTTCACCAGATTTTTACAATGCTACACCCTTCTTGATACTCATGTCAGATTACAAGTCACCTTCTCAGTTTAAGCAGATTTCCAGTTATTGACTACCACATCACTCTGCTTATTATAGAACTTATTTTTATTTAATGTTTTCTTATTTGTTTATTGTCAGTCTACTCCCACTAGAACATAAGCTCACAGGAACAGGGATAGACAAATCGATGGTACAGATCAATACATGAGGAGCTAAAGGAAGTATTTCAAAACAGGAGGAAAAGGACGAGTCAATAAATGGCACTGGGACAACTGGGTATCCACCTGGAGGCAGGCAAGTGAAATCCTTATGTCATTATTTGCCCTTAAATAAATTTCAGCTGTATTTTTTTGAAATGTATGTGCACATACACCCCATGCCCCCAAAACAATAAAAGTACTGGAAAAATCATGAGAGAAAATTTTACAGAAATCTCAGTGTCATTTTAAGCATGATGCAAAACCTTAAAGCCATAGACAAACAGACTGATAAATTTCACAACGTACAAATTAAACAAAACATTCATAAAAATGCCAAAACACCAAAAAATTTGAACACGAAGCTAAAATTCAGAAAAATTAATTATAATGAGTGACAAAGGCATTTTCTTAAAAAAACCCAGAAGCTTAAAATGTAAAGGCAAACCAGTAAGAAAAATATCAACACATAGCAATGGAAAGAAGCAAATGATACAATTAGTTGACAGAAAAGGAAATTCAAATAGCTCTTAAATATATAAAGAGATGCTCCACCTCATTTATAATAAACTAAAACAATCAAATACCACTTTTCAACTACTGACAAAAATTTTTAAAATCTGGTAATACTCTACTGTGTTGGTGAAGCTTTGGAGAAAGGTAATTCATATGGTATTGGTAAGAAAGTAAATGATATAACTTTAGCAGAGAATCTTGGCAATATCTACAGAATAAGTATGTGCACATTCATTGACCTAGTGATTCTGCTTCTAGATATTTTTCCTAAAAATGTATGTACAATGTTTTCTTCACAGCATTGCTTATCATAGCCAAAACTGTAAAACAATTTAAATGTTCACCAAAAGAAACTGACCCATGTAGTATTATATAGATTTTTCAAAAAATGAAGAAACTACATGAATGAATATGAAACAATCTTAAAAAAATAGATCTATAAGCAAAAAACCCCAAAACCACAACAAAACACCAAAAACAAAGGCAACATATACACAGTATATCTGTACGATTTGCTACAAATTGTATTTTAAAAAGTGAAGAGAAATGTGTAAGCATATATAACTTTATATGCATAGATGATCTTTAAAAGCCCACAAAGGAAACTGGTTACAAAGATTTTTAGCCAGTCTTTTCATACCGTCTCAAGTCACTTTTCATCATGTGTATGAATCCCTATCTTGAAAACGTTTGTAATTTTATCTGTTTATCAAGAGAAGTTCAAACAGAAATAGCTATCCCAGCAAAAATTTTTTGGCAATTTATTAAATATTTCTAAAGCACTAAAACCTGTATCATTAAAAAGTAAATCTGCACTCACTCTTACTAATATTTAAGAAATCATCTCTTTAATGCAAAGAACAACAATGAAATGAATTCTTTCAGTTATGTGAGTCATGTGACCAATCATTAAGAAATCACAGAGTTGTTTGCACATTTAGCCTAAATATAACTCAAGCAAATAAATGTTTAACAGAATTTTAACAAATGTTAAAACCTTGAAGATTTTCTTACTTTCCTTGGTTCTTTTCTTCCTTTGGTAAAAGCTCTATTTGTAGTATCTGGACAACTCAAGAATTTTGAAAATGTACTAATTTGTTCTTATTTTTTATTCTTATTTCTGCTCCATCCCAGATATTAGGAATTTTTTCCTGCTAGATTTAATTAGCCTGTCGGCATTATGCATTTGACATCCAGTATACCCCATCATTCTGAACAGAATACATTATTCTGCATCATTCTGAATGCAAAATATACCAACTGGAAGGAGATTTGTGGATCTCCACATATCTTGGCAATATGAAAACTACCTTATTAAATAGTCTGAGTCGCTGTCGGAAAATAACATCTGCGTTGGAGAAATGTATATGTAATCACAGATTTACCAAAACAAGACTGCTAGGTCTAATAACACATCTAAGGAGAAAAAAATATGAGAGTAAAACTATAATTTGGCATTACAGTAATGCAAAGAACTAATTTTGAAAAATTTGACTTCTTAAATTAACAACTTTCTAAACTGCAATGAACTGAACCAAAATTAATTTAGGAATTTATCAATAAGAAGAAAATACCTTTTAATATATTAAAAAGGTTAATATTAGAGCATAGTCTTGGCAAAGTTGAATTTTAGTTTAAGTCTTAAGATAAAGATACTGTTATATAACAATTTACATATTTCAACTTTAAGAGCAGCTCTAAATAGAATTCTATTTATATTTGTTAAAAATTAAACTTTGAAGGGTAAAAAACATGCATATGTGAAAAAGATGTAGACAATGTCCACATGTAAGAATGAATGAATTCTTAATAATAAATTACTAAATCAATGAATTCTAATAAAATGAACAGTATCTTCTTATACTAAACCCATAAACGTTTAAGTAATTTCTGGTCCTAAACTATACTTAGGAATAACAGGTTTATAAGACTTCACATCTAGTATGGCCAGTATAGTAAAATCAGAGAAACAAGCACAACAAAATATGAGTATTTTGATAAATTTTAATTTCTAATACTGGTATATAAAGAGAGTGGATGTTTTCCTTTTGTGCGTAATTAGATAGAAAGAAATATTAAGCCCAAAATGGAGTAAAAACATAAATTCAAATAAAAATTCCTATGGAAAAGGTGTTTGTTCACACCTTAATGAGACACTGGTGCACTGTATTGTAACTCAACTGGTAACTCACTTCTCTCTCCCACCAGACTGGGAACTCTACAGGGCATACAGTGGTGTCACTGTAGCCCTACCTTCTATAACAGTGCTTGGCACATAATATGTACCCTCTGTACATGTGTTGTAAATGTAATAATAAATCCTGGAAAAATAGCTTTTAAAAAGCAAGTAATTTACTGATGAAGCCTAGAAAGTCCCTGGAAATTTTTATTTCTAACAAAACATACTTTACATTTGTTTTTTTCCATTATATAGAAAACACAACGCAGTTACTCTGTACTTCAGATACATTAACATAAAACTCGATTAAATATATTGATGGAAAAATTGGGTAACAAATGTATCTTAACTTTTTTTAATCTCAAAAAAGAATAAAACTAAAATAAAAAATCATTCTGAGTCTAAACAATGTATAACGTATCTTTAATACTCCTTTACTACATAAGAAATTCTTGATTATATATTTCACTTAAGCATTTGATTCAGTCTGTAATGATTCATTATAAGTTATAGAAAGAGAAAATAAGTAGGATATGGCATACGCTTTCAACATATTACATAAAGTACCTGCATATTCCTACCATTTAACACAAAATTTACTAGGCTAGAAGAATGATACTGTGCGGGGTCAGAGTTGGTTTGATAGTATAATATATCTTTCACTTCGGGTAGCTAACAACAGAAACAAATATCCTTATGGGAATGGAAGGCTATAATTTAAGTTTAAATGCTTCAAAAACCTCAAAAATATTTAGAGCAACTTGCTTCTCTATAGTATAATATATCTTTCACTTCGGGTAGCTAACAACAGAAACAAATATCCTTATGGGAATGGAAAGCTATAATTTAAGTTTAAATGCTTCAAAAACCTCAAAAATATTTAGAGCAACTTGCTTCTCTTCCTTTTGTATCTTTTTTGCCTTTTATTATTTTCCTACTGTACCATGCTAAGACCTCCCCTACAATGGTACAGAAATGATATTTTTATCATATATGAGTTTTTATCACATATATGAGGTCTTGAATATTACTGAATGATTTTTTTTAATGCATCTATAGAATCTATAACATGGATTTTCTCCTGTATTCTGCTAATGTGGTGAATAACGTTTACAGATGTTTTATGTGAAACTACCTTCACATTTCTGGGATAACACACACTGGTAACCGAGTTTTCTCTTTTTTTAAAAAATACACCTAACAAATTCAGATTTCCAACAATTTCATTTAACATTTTGACACCTATTTTATTGAATGAAATAGGCTCCTAATTTTCTTCACATACTCTTTTGGAAACAGGGTTATATTGGCCTTATAGAATGACCTGGGGAAATTGCTCTTTTTCTTTTCTCTGGAAGAATTTATATAAGAGTGGTATGACTCTTGAAAGTTTACTGAAATAGAATTCAGCTTTAAAACCATCTGGATCAGTTGATTCTTCCATGGGAAAATCTTAAAACATTGATTCCATATCTGTAATAGTTATAGGATTATTAAAACTTCCCACTTGTTCTTGAATGAGTTTTGGTACATTCTATTTTCCTAGAAATTTGTCAATTTCTTATAAGTTTTCAAATTTATCAGCACAAAGTTTATAGTACACTTTTTAGTCTACCCAATCTTTGTATTTGTTAGTTGTATCTATCTTTGTATTTCAGTATTATTTACTTGTGCCTTGTCTTTATCTACTTTTTCCCTATCCAAATGGATTGTCTATTTTTTTAATCTTTTCTAAGTATCAACTTCTGTCTTCTTTGCTCTTCTCTATTTTAACTGTTTTCTAATTCACTGATTTTCACTCTTATCTGTCCAAATTCTAATTTTTATCTCCTTTTATTTTCTGTTTATTCTAATATTCCTTTTCTATCTTAAGTTAAATTTACAGCTTCTCCATTTTCAGCTTTTCTTCTTTCCTAACATAAATATTTATGACCATAAATTTCCCTTTAAATACCAATTTCATGGTACCCCACAGACTGTGACTGGTGGTATTTTCATTACCATTGGGTTGTAAGCTTTTAAAAATTTCTACTATGATTTGTCCTACTGGCTATTTACAAGGATGGCTAATTTAAAGTGCATGCTTTTGTTAAAAACTTATATTTTTGCTATTTATTTCTAACTTAATTGCATTATGGTTAGAGAATACAGTCTGCAGGATATCAATTCTTTGAAAGGTGTTAATCTGTGCTTTGTAACCTAGTACATGTTTGGTTTTTGTAACTGTTCCTTATGTATTTGTGTATTATACAGGAGGCAGTCATCATTAAACTATGCTTCACTGAGCTCAAATCAACTAAAGACAGACTAATTTTTTAATTCCATGAATTATTAGTAATTGAGATAGGTATATACAAATTTCCTAATATGACAGTAAATTTGTCCATTTTCTCAAATTTTGATTTATATATTTTGAGTCTATTGCAATAGGTGCATTCAAGTTTAGAACTGCTATATTTCACTGGTAAATTAGACTTGTTACCATTACATACTGACTCTTTCTGCCTAATAATGTCTTTTAGTTTAATGTTAATATAACTGTTCCAGTTTTTAGTTAATAATTGCCTGAAATATCATTTTCTAACATTTTATTTTCAACCTTTCTGTATACTTACGCTTTAACTGCTTTTTGCAAACAGCATTTTTTTATTTTATTTTATTTTTTTTCCTTTTTGTCTTTTTTCGTGACCGGCAACGGATCGCAACCCTCAGTGTCGCTATTTATTTCTAACTTAATTGCATTATGGTTAGAGAATACAGTCTGCAGGATATCAATTCTTTGAAAGGTGTTAATCTGTGCTTTGTAACCTAGTACATGTTTGGTTTTTGTAACTGTTCCTTATGTATTTGTGTATTATACAGGAGGCAGTCATCATTAAACTATGCTTCACTGAGCTCAAATCAACTAAAGACAGACTAATTTTTTAATTCCATGAATTATTAGTAATTGAGATAGGTATATACAAATTTCCTAATATGACAGTAAATTTGTCCATTTTCTCAAATTTTGATTTATATATTTTGAGTCTATTGCAATAGGTGCATTCAAGTTTAGAACTGCTATATTTCACTGGTAAATTAGACTTGTTACCATTACATACTGACTCTTTCTGCCTAATAATGTCTTTTAGTTTAATGTTAATATAACTGTTCCAGTTTTTAGTTAATAATTGCCTGAAATATCATTTTCTAACATTTTATTTTCAACCTTTCTGTATACTTACGCTTTAACTGCTTTTTGCAAACAGCATTTTTTTATTTTATTTTATTTTTTTTCCTTTTTGTCTTTTTTCGTGACCGGCAACGGATCGCAACCCTCAGTGTCGCGCCCGTACTGGACCGGGACCGGCAACGGGATCGGCAACGGGATCGCAACCCTCAGTGCTGTGCCCGCACCTCGCTCAGCCAGTGAGCGGCCGGTCTGTATGTGGGATCCAAACCCTCGGCGGGAGCGCTGCCGCGCTCCCAAGCGGCGCACTGTAGCAGTGCACCACTGGGCCGGCCAAACAGCATTTTTAAAAAAAACCCAACTGATAAGCTTTGTCTTTCATAAGCCAAGATTACTCAATTTATATTTGTTGTGATTATTAACATATAAGACTTGTTCCTATATCCTACCTTTTTAATCTTCATTTTTTTCCTCCTTTTCTATGCTTTTTCTTCCTTTCTCACCTTTTTTGGGGGGGATTGATTTTAAATGCTCTTTTTCCATGTCTTAATTCCTGTTTTCCACTGCACATATTTCTAGTACACATATTTTATACTTATTCTTGTAGTGGTTATCTTTGAAATATCACCACACAAATTTAACTTAGATCAAGAGTTAATTAACATTCCAGTCCTCCTCAAAACAATACACTTCAACTCTGATCTTCCTCCATCAATGTAAACGCTATTGCTGTCCAGTGTTTTAGTTCTATTTCCCTACCCCTCACTTTTTTTTTTAAAACAAATTACCAGGTTGTACTATTGTAAGGTATCAATGCAAGTAGTTGATTACAGACCAAATGTGTTTTGTTTATTCTCCTGTATCTCTGTATCTAAGTATAAGCAGGGACATTTCCCTTACACTTGCAAGTCATATTCAAGTGCCTACTGACCATCTATATTGCACATCTAACTAGCATGTAAAACTTCCAAAATGANTCAAGTGCCTACTGACCATCTATATTGCACATCTAACTAGCATGTAAAACTTCCAAAATGAGTTTCTACTTCCCAGTCCTCTCCCCAGACTTCCCCATCTCAGCAAATGACATTAACATCCATGCAATGCTTAAGCCAAAAACCCAAGTCATGACTGATTTCTCAGTCTCCTTCATCTCACACCCAATCTATCCTATTATTTATATTTTCAAAATATTCTCAAACCTGTTTACTTTTCTTAATCCTTACTACTACCCACTAGTCCAACAGCCTTACTTCCCCCACTTTTTTAAACTTTAGTCCCTTTCCAATTCAATCTCCACAAAGTATCCAGAGCCATCCTTCAAAAATGTGTATCAGAACAGTTGTTTCTACATGTAAAAATCTGCTTTCTGAATAAATTTCAGATGTTCTCATATGGCCTGCATAGTCTGGTTCCTGCCTACTGTCTCACATCACTCTTCACTCATTATGTTTCAACCCCGCCACCTTCATATAATGCCAAACCCTTTCCTTTTTAATACCTCTGCTCTTACCTTTCCTTTTGCCTATTAAGCTCCTCTTCAACCATTAATTTTTATCTTTTAGATCTCAGCTCAAGTGTCAATTCCTAAGAGACATCCTCCCTGACCATTCTAATTAATGTAATGTAAATTCTAATTAATCTAATGCAATTAGACAAGAATACTAAAACTCCTACTTTTGCAACTAACTGTCTCCATTTCTATGAATGACACTGATTTCCCTCTTGAGGCTGCCATTTCTCCTTTATTATTATCTCACTGTATAGCAATGTCAGCTCTAATACACCCATTCCCAACTCAACAAAAATGACCTTTTAATGCCCAAGTTTTCTTTATAAAGCAAAGTGGAAGAATGCATTGTATCTCAATACAAGACAATGAAATTATCAGTATTTTCAATTTAATTGTTCTTTTAAAAATACTAAAAGCATAATGAAAAAATCAGTGGGGCCAAGTGGTCCTACACAGGGCTTACAAATGCAATTAACAGCATACCCAACATCTGAATGTATACCATTCCTGTACAATACACATTAAAATAAATTTCACTGTTAAACATACCCTTCCTGAAGAGATAATTCCTGGTTTTCTTCTTCAGGGCCACTGCTATCACTCTGTAGCTCAGGTTCATTCTCATCTTTTCCTGGCAGAGTCTCCCAGCTTTCATCACTGGAGGACTGATCTTTTTCTGTACCAGAAAATCGATGCGCTAAAGAAGCAGACCATTCCCCATCACTGCATTCTGAACTGCAAATTAGAACAGAAATAAAAGAAACCATCTTAATGTTGTCATTTTTATCATTTGGAATGTTAACCAGTCATCACAGAACAGAACAGACTGCTGTTCACATGATTTGTCAGTTGCTAAAACATTTTTTAAAAAAATACAGAAATAAATAGACCCAGCAGAATTAACTCTTTCAAATGAATATGGCATATGGTAAATTATGGAATATTATTTTTTCTTTCACTAAAGTACATAATTCCATGGTATCTAAAAATAGTCTTGTCATATTTTAGACATATTTCTAAATACAGTTTGGTAATCATAAATGCTATCTGGAATAACAGATTTATCGCTCACCTGACCTGATTAAAACAACTTTATAATTACATATTGACAACTAATGTCATATCCTATATGAATAAATTTCCACCATTACCATGTAGTAAAAGCTTAACTGTTTTTCTCCTTCCCTTTTCACACAAAAA